CCCCACTTTTCTTCATTTTCTATCATCTTTAAAAATTACTCACATCATCCAATAATATGGTGACAACTCATCACATCTCATTAAAATTTCCTTCCATCACTTTCCTCCAAAAAATTTTGTAAAATGATTTTCCTAAGTATGTGTCACATCATCCAATAATATAATGACAACTCATCTCATCTCATCTATTTTCCCTCACTTTTAAGAATGAACCAAACACAAGAAAAGAATCTAAACAAGGAAAGTGAAGGAAAACATCAAAAATTACTCACATCAACCAATAATATGGTGACACCTCATTTTCTCCCCCACTTTCGGTTATAGCTTTGACGAACCAAACCTCTGAAAGTGGAGGAAAACATCAAAATTCACTTTCTTTTTCCCCACTTTCCCCCACTTTCGGTCTTTTTTTGCGAAACAAACAGGCCCTTAGAGGATAGAGGAGGGGAATGGATGGGAAATTTGGCACAAATTCTTACATCCCAAATTGAGGTGTAATGGAGGTGAAGGAAAGGAAGGGGAATTTTCCCCCTTCCTTCCATTTCTTACGTAAACTCAAACACACCATAAGTCTCTTTTCTCATTCAAGAAAGTAATTTACATAATTGAGCAGTTGCATCTCTTGTATTCAGGGGAAACTAGTAATAAATTTAAGCCTGATGAGTTCTTGAAGCTAAAGCATGACCTAATAAGTTTCATTTGGCCCTAGTGGGTCAAAATAAAAAGAACATAATACAATGCGAATACATCACTATGATTATCAAAATGAATAAAAATATAAATGTAGTATGCGGTTATCTTAAGTACAACTCTTAAAAACATTTACTAACAAACTAAAAAGAAATTTCTAAACCAAATATTTAGGAATGTTTTTTTTTGGCTTTTTTCACATATAGTAAAATTCCCGAAATATTTTTATCCAAAAAATTCAAAGTAATTTTTCTAAATGAAATGTTTAGACATGGTTAGATTAGTACTTAACTATGGATGAACAATTACTAAACTATCTTGCTATAAATTCTGTCCAATTTGTTAATCATGATTAGATTAACCTTTAATTATGGATAAGTAACTATAAACCATTCTCACTAAATAAATTGAGCTAACCAAATGTCTGTTTTGTATCTTTTTCCAATTCCCTCTTCAACTTCTGAGAGAAGTGGAACTTTTCCCATTCCGTCACTCCAAACATTGATGCTAAACACTCCTCCCACCCCCCTTCCCTCCACCCAAAAAAACCAAAAAAAAAAAAAACCTCTGACATGTGTTTGTATAAAACAATGTATCCACTCTGAAAAAGTTACAATTGAAAGAATATTTTCCAAATTAAACAAGTGCTAACTGAGGTGAATTAATCTCAAACAACTAATAATAATTTTGGGATGTAAGAGCAGTTTCAATAATTTAGGGAACTAATTGAGATGCTTATATCTTCTTCTTTTTTCCCCACAAAGTAAAAGAGAAAATTCTTAATAAAATGTTTAAACCATTAACTTTTATATTCTTTCTTATTAATTTATTAGCAATACAAATTAGGAAAAATAATTTTATTCATAAGTTAAGAAATTCCAAACCAAATGATTAAACCATTATTTTTCTATTTTGTTGACGCTAGTACCGTAATAACGCGCGGGTCAATTATGCTCGTAAAATATAATAGATATTTAATTACCAAACTCTATTATATACTCTAGAAAGTTTAGAAAGTTCTAGATCTAAACAAGGATGAAAAAATTAAATTAAATTTTTTTTTGGTATGAAATGATGAAATTGTCACTCACGTGTTTTGAGAATTTGAGATGAACTCTTTTTGTTTTTTACTTTCCCTCTCTAGAATCTCTCCCTCTCTCTAGCTTTGCAATGCACACCGCCTCTCACTCTCCCCTCATCTCTCCACCTCCTCATTCCCTGACCCCCAATCGGATCCGGGCCCCAACCCATGTCCGATTCGGGCTCCGACCCGTCAGCATCCGCTCCAAGGGTCCAATTAGGGTTTCGTCTCCTTCGTCAACGTCGAGTCCGATGGAAGCGACGGAGGAGGAGGTGGATGGGTTCGTGGCGGTGGCGAACAAGGTCGCCGACGCCGCCGGCGAGGTCATCCGCAAGTACTTCCGTCAGCCCTTCGACGTCCTCCACAAGGACGATCTCAGTAAGCGAATCCCTCGTCATCTTATAGAAAGACTCGTTCTTTTCTGCTGGGTAAATTACAGAAAATGACCAAGTTAATTTTGTTCGTAGAAATTAGAAGAGAAGGGGGTGAGTGCCACTTGTTAATCTAGGGGGACTTTTAGGGCTTGTTTGGATTTGGAGGGGGTGAAGGGAAGTTAGGGGAACCAAGGGGAAGTTAAGGGAAGGGAAGGGAAGGGAATTTCTAAAACTTGTTTGGGAAATTAGTAAGGTGAATCAAGGGGAAGTTATTTCACCCCGTTTGGAAAGTGTAATAACAAGAAGGGAAGGGAAGGGAATGTATATAAATTGACATAAATACCCTCACATGTATATAAAAAAATATGAGCAACTGTCACATAAGCCCACATGAAAATAAATATCTTATTATTTATTTATCTGCAGATTTCTTCAAGTGTATTCTTTATTTTCTCTTTTTCTTTCTAATCGCAATTCTTCTGTTTCTAAAACTGTAATAATTGGTTTATACAAACAATTGTATATTTGATTCTTATAGATAGAATATTGAAGTTTAGATAACCATGAGAATATTTTTGACTATAACCGATTCTAATAGTGGAAGAATCAAGAGGAAGTTATTTTACTCCGTTTGGAAAGTGTAATAACGGGAGGGGAATGGAATGGAATGTATATAAATTGACATAAATACCCTCACATATTATTAAGTTATATTGTTGTTAGAAATTAAATATCAAATATGCATCTATTGCAATATATTATTATTGTCATCATCTCCTTCCACATTGTATATCCACTATAAACACAAATCAGAGCTATATAATGTTCCATATTGCACTTATGGCAACATATAAATAGCAATTAATAGATATACATGCTACAACATGAACAAATCCAACTCCATAAAAGTGAAGTGATCATCAGTCAATAATATTAGCTCTCCAACCAATTCAATGTTCCTACAATCAAAAACTTGCTTGGAAGTTCAACAGCACAAGGTGCAAGGAATGTGATCGTCTTCCTGTAAAGATTACATCCGCAAGGGTTAAAAAAAGTGAAATGCATAAAAAGATGAAAATGAAAAGTTTGTGCTTGTCATCATCTCCTTTCACATTGTATATCCACTATCAACACATATTTCCATAAACAATAGGCAAAAACAACTTACATAAAAAAGGAACATAATTCATAAAATCAAAGTTTTGCAATTAGCACATGTTTCTAGCAAAATATGACCACATGCATACTAAGTTTTGCCATAAGCAACACAAAAACAAACAAGTTTGTAATTGCCACAGATAATCAAATTCGGCAATACAACTTACAAAAATAAATAACAATAGATTCTCAAGATAACATCATCATAAGAAGTTCCTTGCGCTCTTCCAATGGACATCCAAGCAAAGCTTTTAGATCCTCTGGATGCTTAGTTAGGAAAAGATATGCTTGTTTAATTTGAGCAGTCTCAACACCAAGTTCAAGCAAATGATTCCAAACATCACTACTTTTCATTGGAGCACGTTCAAGAGCTTGTATGTATTTATCACCAGTGGATTCAATTGCCTCAGCTATCCTCTGCATACCCTTTATCACCTCCTGATCAACAATAGAAATTTCGTCCTTCGATTTTCTAGTTTTCTTTTGTGAATTTGCAGTTGATTTGGTTTCAGGGGTAATCACATGTTCATCATTGTTGTCATTTGGGTCCTCATCATTAATCCTATCGAAATTCTCTAACAAAATTTCATGTCGAGAAACCATACCATCGATGTCCTCAATTGTATGAGAATCAAAGCCATTGCTTGCACTAAAATCCCTCCTCCTTTCTCGTATCTCAGCCGCAGTTTCAGCAAGTTCCCCATTTGCTCTATCAGCTGCAAAAAGCTCCAATAGTTTATCATAGTTTCGGATAGACTTGGTCCTCCATTCAGCAGCTTCTGGGTGAGCCTGAAACAGATTTGCACCAAATTTTAGCTCAACATGGTTCTCAACCTATCACTTGAATTTTCACCCCCAAAAACATATCAATATAACCTAAATTTTAAGTATAATCAAACTCTTAGAAACTGTTAGGAAACTACTACAAGTTTAGTTCCCAGGAAAAAAAAACACAAAAAAAGAAAAGAAAAGAAAAGGAAACAGTACATAGTATCACAAGCCAATAATGGATTAAAACTCTGATATCTTCAGAGCAAATAAAGTGGATATTATGTCCAGTATGCAACCTGTAAAGTATCAGATTACAGGTAAATTAAGACCACATATGTGCGATGCTAGTGAAAAAAAAATGTCTTATAAGTATCAACACTACATCTTCATGCAACCTGTAAAGTATCAGATTACAGGGTTCGAGTATGCAAGCTACTCAGAGATAATGTTACGAGAGTGCAAGCTTAGTATGGTATTAACTTCGATCTAAGGGCTAGGAAAATTAGTTGTTTCGCTGTAACTATAGTCTCTTTACATTGCAGCTGCAAAACTAAGCATTTTTTTGCCAAAGAAAAAAAAAAGATCCAGTCAATTTGGTTGCTAGCACATCTCAAAAATCGAATATTTTTACAATTACAGCAACTTGAGTTGCATCGAAACAACATATGCAACTGTAACTAAAACTGTGTTTTGGAAATGGCAATTGCAGTTGTAACGATATGTTTCAGCGTATCAAACAGATTGTCAGCAATGTGCACATGATTTTTATTTTTATTTTTTAAACAAATAGGATGGAGGTCACCCGTGGGAACTAATATACTTATCTAAAAAATTGTAGAAAATTATAAGAGGGGGAAAAAAGATGCAGGCCAATAATACATAGGATTGCAGTCATAGATATTAATGTCAGATATTGGATTTGGCATATATCACATGTAACAGTAAGATTTAATCATATATCCAATTAGTCGGTACAGCTAAAATACCCTTTTCTCCAGTTCAACTGGTACAAGTACCCTTTTCAGTACCCAACTCAAAAACAGGTTTCCGATTCAGCTACTAAAAATGATAATCCTTGTAATAAATGGCATTAATGCGATAAAAAATAAAGATTGTGTAATTTTACCTCGATTAGTCTATCCCAAACCTCAGGTTCCGCACTCCACAAACCCGTGCTTCGATTCCAAGCAAAGCCACTTCCGACATTCTTAAATAAATCATAACAAGCTGTCCATTTTGTCTTCATATATTTCATGCGATTCTTTACTTTTTCCTTATCAAATGGCTTATCGGGAAAGCTTTCTTTAAGTTCGGCTACTATTTCATTATAAGCCATTGATGTAAAATTCCCATCAACTCGGTTTCCCATTACATGTTGATTCAAGTAAGCATCAATTAGCTTATCTTCCATATTAGGAGTCCATATCAAAACATTAGCATTCCTACATCGAGAAGAATCACCTTCCACATTCCTTCTTTTCGACATCCTTTAATTCACACAATAATGTTAGAAGGAATTAATTATTCACAATTCAATAATTGAAAACTATCAATGAGAGATGACAGGAGATCACAATAAATAAACTAACATTCATGCTACCGAATTAAAATGATATTAGTCTAACGCTTATCAAGTACAACACAAATGAAGAAGAAAACCCAAATAGAGAGTACAAATCAAACAAACAATAAGCATAACTAAAATAAATTATCGATGATAATCTTGCCACATTGCAACTGCGAAAGTTTCAAAGAACATGATCTTCTCCTCACGATTTGACGCTGTGGAGAACTTGCATGGCAAGTTTCAAAGAACTCTTGATGAGTTGATAACTCTAAACGAGTTTGAAACTCTGTGAAAGAGTTGATTTAACCGAAATCGGTTTGTAAGCCAAGGATGAAGAAAGCTCTTGTTTCCGATCTCCAAAGCTCCAGCAATTCCCCTAAAAAGCTAGCCAACGATCCCTTCCTTTCTGCCAAAACCCCCAGGGACTGAAGGATCCAAACTCAGTTGAGTTTACTCCTATTTATAAAGGATTAAGGGTGTAATCACCCCCTTAATTATCTCCATAATAGGGTTGAATAAGGTGTAAACCATCCCCTTAATCTGCTCCTAAGTAGGACGGAAATCCCTCCAAATGTAGGGGGGGATGGTTTCTGAAACCGTTCAGCTCGTGTTTGAACGAGTCAAACGCCGAAAATGGCGTTCTGGGTCCGAACTCTGCATTTTAGACTTAAAACAAAGAGTTAGGCCTGTTTTAGGCTGAAAATGCAGTGTTCGCACAGCGTTGTAAATCTGAAATGCAGAGATGAACTCTGCGACGGTTTCTAAAACCGTTCAGCTCGTGTTTGAACGAGTCAAACGCCGAAAATGGCGTTCTGGGTCCGAACTCTGCATTTTAGACTTAAAACAAAGAGTTAGGCCTGTTTTAGGCTGAAAATGCAGTGTTCGCACAGCGTTGTAAATCTGAAATGCAGAGATGAACTCTGCGTTTTGAGTCCACGAACTTTGCGTTTTTAATTGGAGCGCTAGGGATGACCTCTGCATTTTGACTCTGAAATGTGGGTATGGCCTCTGCATTTTGATGTTGTAACACAAGGATAACCTCTGCGTTTTGATGGTTTAATGCAGGGATGACCTCTGTGTTTTGATGGTGAAATGCAGGGATGACCTCTGCGTTTTGATGTGAAGAGATCATCAATTTGTGGTCTCTTTTGCTAGAGCGTTGCAAAGACCGTCATCTTGTAATCTTCATCTTGGCTTCTTGAAAATATGAGAGTCGTCAGATTGTAATTCCCAATGTTGATTGTGAAGGCTGTTAAACTAGAGCTTTTATCGGTTATTGTGAAGGTTGTCAGATTGTAACCTTCATCAATCTACATGAAAGTCTTTAAATTATAGCCTTCTAGAAGTTGTCAGATTTTAACTTCCATCATCGGTGTTTGATGGGGGATCAGCTATCTGCAATGATTTTTAGAGAGCCTACATTCCTGGTTACTCCTACCCTTAGAATGTCATGTTTAATATGTATACTCCATAAAATTGACTTGGTATCCGTAATGTGGGAGATTAAATGTAATTTTTTGATACTTGTAGAATTTGAAAGTGGATTTTTCAAATGTTAATGTATTTATCTTTGATTTTATCAATACAAACATTCACATATTTTGCTAGCATGTATCAAGTAAAAGATTTAAATTATATATATATATATATAGAGGAATTAGGGAATTTCCTTGAGATCGATTAAGGTCATAGTTAGATATAAGTATTAATTTGTTCAAAGAAAAATTATTCGTGATATACATATGCACACATTGTATTTTCTATTTTTCAATTATGTAGGTACTGCCTCACGACCTTCTTTGAGTTCATTATCTATACCTATAACCTCGCCCGCTAAAGGTATTAATTTATTTAATTGAATTATGACCATTCAGAAAAATTTATTCATGTTGTACCAATGTCATATTTATTACTTCGCTAGATATTGTAGAGATATCCACATGCATCCTTTATGAGTGCAGCAGAGGGTGATTGATGCACCAGAATTTAAGTTTCAGATAGATTTAACTACCGTGGAGATCACGGGTTGTATTCTTACTAGAGAGGACGAGAGGCTTAGAAAGGAAGTAATACCTTAAGTTAAAGTTCAAAATAGAGATAGAAAAGAGATGAGGAGGCTTCTTAGGTGCGCAAGGAGGATATGTGTCGCGACTACCTGCAACTGTTCGAGTGGGTTAATTGATTTTGTTATAGCTTATTGATGTTTATGATTTTTGATTGTTCTATATGGTCATATTTATATTTAAGGCTAAAATGGGGGTATTAACACTTAGCTCCTAATCATTCGGAACACATGGTATATATATGGGGGATTAACACTTAGCTCCTAATCATTCGGAACACATGGTATATATATGGGGGTTCCTTGTTTGGATTTTTCCCCCGACGTACTAGTTCTGTTTAGTTAGGGGTTAAGTGAGAGCATTCGTATTTTAGATCGTTAAGCATAAATATTACTAGTGATTCATATCCAGAGATTAATGGTACGAGATGTGTACGGGAGGGTTTCCTTGTCTGGATTATCCCCTCTTAGTGCTTTTCTCATGTTTTTAATTCCAAAGATACGATTGTGGAATTTCGGGGACGAAATTCTTTTAATGGGGGAAGAATGTAAAACCCCGTAAATTTGAATATTTTATAATAAATAATGATAAATATATTATATAGTGAAAAATAATATATTTTGATGTTTGGATATGATAAGAATTGATTTGAGATCAATTCAATGTATATTTATGAAAATATGAGTGCAAATGCACAAAACATGCACAAAGACCAAAAGAGTGAAAATCTGGGAATAATGACCAGTTATGAGTTTTTAAGTTTTTCATATCGATGTAGTTAGAATTTGGAAAAGTGTAAAAGACCATAGTTGTAGGTCTCTTCTTTATCTTTCCAACAAGTCTTAGATCACCTCATTCTGATTATATAACATGTATTCACGAAATTTTCATCTATATATAACATGTATTCATGAAATTTTTAGTACTATTTCAGTATTTTTTAAAACCCTAACAGCCACCAACCCCCCCCCCCCCCCCCCCCCCCCCCAAACCCTAGTTTGATTTATTGGAGATGATTGGAGGCTTTCAAGTAGATTTTTATTGATTTTTGGCTTTTGTAGTGAAGATCTCTTTCGATGTTGCTTCTAAAAGGATTTCTTACAACTCCAGGTGAGTATCATCTCTACTAATCCCCCTTCTAGTTTTTAAAATATTTTTAAAGAGATTTAAACATATTTTGTAGAGCCTAAACAAATAGATTATGTATAAAAGATAACTCTTTTGTATTATATGTATAAAGATTAGGTCTTTTCATGCTAAAAAGGTTGAGAATATTTTTTACAAATGTGATTTAGATCTGAAGATGATTTTAAAACGTGGTTAATCTAAAGAAAGAAGTTTGATTCGTTGTTTTGAGTTTTTATGCATGTTTTGAAGTTTTGAATATGAATCTAATGCATAAAATCATGGTTATATATGTTATTTTGTTTTCCAGATATTTCTATCTACTATAACATGTTTGTAGGCAATATTATGAGGGTTTAATCATGTTTGAATCACAAAAACACAACATGAACACGACATACACAAAAAAATTGAGAATCTAGAATCAGGGTTCACGGTCGACTGCCACGGTCGACCGCGTGCAGGACAGAGACATGGGTAGTCTCTGGAGCCCGTCACGGTCGACCCCGGGGCCCCCCGCCAGTTTGTTTTGGCTGTGTATGTTTATATGGCTTGGTTTTGGTTTGTCGAGCAGATTTTTCGATCTAATGATGATAGACTATTATGTTAGTGATTGTTTAACACCTAAGATGATGGTGAACTTCAGATGAGGACGCGCACACTGAGATTTGTGCATGTATACTAGATTGTGTTAGATTGACACCCTTTTGACATGAGTTAAACTGATAAACACATATGAATAGTGTTGTTTTAGACGTATTCGGAAATAGGGAGATGAAACCTATTTGCCGCAGAACGATTGAGTACGAGTATTATAAAAGTATTGTTATTACACGTATCTGAACTAGGAGAATAATAATCCTATTGCCGCAGAACGATTGAGTAAGAATATTACAAAAGTATCGTTATTACACGTATCCAGAATAGGGAGATAATAAAACCTATTGCCGCAGAGCGATTGAGTAAGAGCATTACAAGAGTATCGCTATAGCACAATATGATGCACACGTAGATATTTGATCAGTTATAAGTTTTACTTCCATGATAGATTACCCATGAGTAGGGTATTTATTTTGAAATTTTGGCACACCTATTATGGACGACAATTATATTTCGTTTTGATTTGGTTAGCATCCTCTTATATTAGAGCAGGCTACTCGATTGTACTTCGAGATGAGATATTTATTCTTTATGTTAGAGATTGGATTATTTATCATTGATTATTTGTTTTTCATTCATGGAGAGTTATAAGAATGATTTGATATATGTATGTACTAACTCTATTTTCTTATATACTCCTATCCCTTTCCTTGGGGAGAGGTAGTGATGATCTCGCTAGCACTTTGACGCTCGTTGTTTCCTCTCTTTTAGGCAGCGAGTCCGACGCACGGAGAGTCGCAGGTTGATGGGACATATTAGTTGTCCGTTTAGCTACTTCTCATATTTTGTAGTTATTGCAGAACTCCACATGTAGTTGATTATTTTCAAACTCTAGATTGGTATTTTGTTTCATAGAGTTGAGAGCTATTGTGAGACTTTGTTATTTGACTCATTTTATTTGAAATTCAGTTCAGATTCAGAGATATATCTATTTCATCCCAGTTGGGCTCATTATTGATATTTCATATGCTTCTTCTGTGTACATTCGGTGTCGTTCTATTTCTATTTTGCCTATCTGTACCTTCGTCTATTTTTTGTTTCCACTAGAGAGATAGTGATTATGATGGTAAAACATGTCGTAGTATGGTGTTTGGTGCTTGGCAGGTTTGACAATCCGAGTTTCACCTTGGACTGCAGCCTTGT